TCTGGAGAGAGGGCTCAGAGTTGCTACTATATACATCCTCATACCTTACCTATTCAGGTCCTTTTCTTGAATAGAGTAACTTTATTTTTTTTTAACATGTGTGCAGGGAAAACTGGATAGAGTTTATATCTCTTCCTTTGTAATCCTGTTTTCTAAATCTGGGTTTATTTTAATGTGATGAATTTATTTTTCTTACTGTTTATGTGACCAGAGAGAGAGATTTAATTTTTCTGTAGGGTGCAATATTTGTTGAACAACATTTATTATCAAGACTTTATAAGTTGCTTTATTTGCTGTGTCATGATATGACTTCATTTAATTCTCATGGTATATATAGTAGTAGCATCATATTGAATGATGTGGGATTCCTTTCTGTAAGTTGTGAATATGTTTTCTTACCATTGATTAATAAAGAAGTTGTTTTGGTCTATGGCAGGGCAGAATATAGCCAGTTGTGAAATCTGAACAGAGATGTAAAGAGTAGGTGGAGTCAAGGAGACACTATGTAGCTGCTGAAGAAGAAGGATGGTAGGTAGAAATTTCCCAGTAAGCCACAAACTCATGGCAATACATAGATTAATAGAAATGGGTAAATTTAGGATATAAGTGCTAACTAGGAATATGCTTGAGTCATTGGCCAAATAGTGTTGTAATTAATATAGTTTCTGTGTGATTATTTGGGTCAGAGCAGCCGGAAAACAAAAGAACTGTCTCTGTTTACACTCTTAATTTAAAACTAAGGAAACTGAAGCTTAGAGAAGTTGAAACTTGATCCAAATGATGCCTAATTGTTGAATGGTTTATAAACCACGCACAGAATAAAGTGTCTTCCACATCATCATAGAAATTGATATCATTGATATCATATCACCGATATCAATCACATATCATTGGTATTGCCATACTTGTGTTTCCTAGAGAGTCATCTGGGTCACACTGGTCTTTCCAGGTCTTTATAGAAAATACACTATGACGTAAGAGCTTGAGAGACACTGAGTAAGTGGGAAATTCTCTGTCCATGACAACATATTAAATATACTAAAATACTACCTGGTAAGGGAATGTAGAGTGTGGTTCCTTTTGGGTTATTTAACTCTGAAAACACCATTAATGAGGCACTTTCCAGTGGCACCTGTTTTCAGAAATACTTCAAAGCAACCTTCTATTCTAGAAATGATTTTCTGGTGGGAGATGTTAGACTCTGAAGCTAGAACATACTTAGTCAGTGGCCTGCTGTGCTTGAACCTAAGTTTGGATAATTTATAAAATTCTCTTTTAATATTAATGTCAGAAATCAAGGTTTAGGACTCTAATAGATGTTATTTCTGATAATAAAGCTGAATTAAAATTGCTGAAAGATCAAATGTAATGTATAGGCAAACATTTTGAAAACCATAAAATACTGAGTCAATAACAGAATTAGATAGTATTGTCTAAAACAATACCAAAATATCATTTATTTATTTATTCATTTGTTTGTTTTTGAGACAGGGTCTCATGTAATCCAGGCATCCCTCAAACTTAGTACGTAGTAAAAGATAATCTTGAATTTCTAATCCTTCTCTTTCTATTTCTTGAGTGCTGGGATTACAGATTTGTGACAGCACACATAGGTTTGTGCATGATTGGAACTGAGGAGTCCTACCCCAGAGCTTCCTGCATGTTAGGCAAGCATTGCATCAGCCAAGCTATATTCCAAGCTCTCCTATTGTTAACTTTGGAAGAAAATTAGTTCTTTATTCGTCTCTTAAACACATTTAAAGGATGAGCTGTTCTGAAAGGTGAGTTTTGCTAGTTATTGTCATCTGACTTTTCTTTATCATCAGTGGCTCAGAAACTTGGTAACCACGTGGGTATATTAAATAGTTCTTGGGAAATAAACTTAAGCAGTTTGTGGATTCTGTATGCTGAATAAATAAGTCATGAAACTAAGAGGCATGGAGCCTTTATCCTACCTGATTCTATTGATTGTGAGAATAAAAATTCTGAACAGTGACACACAGATTTTTCTACTTTAATAACAGTAAATAAATAGTAATATATTTTTTAGGTTTTTCATAAGAGCTCATTTATTTAAAGAAATAGTTGGAGACAGAATCAGTGCAGAAGTCAAATTTACTGATCATGCTTTACTGAAGAACTATAAGATTGACTAAAAAGAGTTGTAACTAAAATAGTCATGCAACATGGCTGCCCAGATGCCAACATCTCCTCTCTGGAGCATATTCCTGGGCTGGAATATATTCCTGGGGATCACTTGACATGACAAGGAATAATTTCCCGGTAGAGAACAAAGTCCAGCTGATCCCATATTAAGAGGAGATGAAAGACAGTTCCATTCCCCAACTCTCTGAGAAGGGTGAGTGAACTCAGAGCAAACAGCAGACATTCCTTGTCTCACCAAATTTAGCCTGCCATTGGCTTCTATGTCACCAAGCTGAGTTAGTGTGGGGATTCTTCACAGCACTTTGAATACAGGTAGAAAATAAATCTGCAGAGATCTGCAGCTAATGCATATGGAAATTCTCTCCCCTTCCCCTTCTCCACAGCACAGTTGGACTGCATTAATAATGGCTATGGGCCCAGGGAAATGAATGTGAATTTGGCAAGGCTCAGAAAAGTTGGCTCCAAGAAGAGATACTCTATCTTACATGAGCAAGAAGGTAATCCTATAGCGTGGTGTGAGAGACTGCTCATCCTTGCAAAGTCTGAGTGTGGATCAGCAGGAAGCAGAAGATGCCATGAATTAGTTCATATGTTAGGACTCTGCTTGACACTTCAAAGAAATACATAGCGTTTGAAAGCAAACAAGGTTTTTAGTGGCTCTAGTCCTATGAATGACAGCCAACTGTTGCGTGAAAGCCTGGTGGTGCTGGGCTTCTGTTCAGAAGTCATTTTGACTATTCCTCAACCCCCGAGTGAATCTCACATAAGATAATCCCTTCTGCATCCAAGTTCAACCATTATTTTTTTTTTCAGAGATGATTCCTGAACCTTTAAGAGCCATGATATTATGTTTTGAGTAAATAATACATTTAAAACCTTGGGATCAATTTAATTAAAAATTAACAATGTTATAGAGTTACTTGTATACTTATTGAGAAGACATGGCTAAAGGGAGTTTGAAATATATAGGTCTAGAGAACATATGAGACAGGAAGAGGAGGGGAAAGTTCACAAAGATGAAAAGAATGCACACAGAATTAGCATTTTCCCATGATTTGCCCTGTTGTGTCTTGATTTTTGTTTATGAAAAAAGAGTTATTTTTACTTTAATGCATAAAGAAAACAGAAAGACGACAATTTTGGATAGAATAGATTTTTGTATATACATGCCTCCAGGAGTCTATATTCCCCTAAAACCCTGCATCAGTATCTAGTACACATTTGTTCCCGAGGCCCGAGTGGAGTGCCTGGAGTAGTGTATGGATCTTTTGTTAGTAAAAGGGAAAGTACAGGATGACTACTTCCGCCTAGTGGACGCAGGCACAGACGACACTCATTACAAACAATTCTACTGGGAACACCTTTTGAAAAACTCAGTTATACAGTATGGACTGAGGACTGTGTCCGAATCCCCTTTTCCTCTCGTAATAATTTGCCACATTCTACGTCTGTAGATAAAGTAGTCCCGGAAGTGGAGTTGGTCGGATGGGTTTGTTTACACTGCAGTCCATAAAAGAAACAAAAAGCCTTGCATGCAAAAGAAATGGGGAAAAAATACAGAAAGTGAATAAATAAAAAGCAAGAATGAATGTTTAATGAAAAAATAAATAAAATGAGGCCAGCAGTTATGAAGCAGCACATTAAAGCATAATATATACAAGCGTTTATTTTTCAAATTAGTAGCATAAAACAAGACACTTCAAGAGCGGATTGAAAGTTAGGGCAGATCAGTCCCTTCTACCTATTACTTCAAGACAGTTTTCTAGAATGAGGTCTAGGAAAGGGGTGATCCATAACCTCATAATTGCTTTTTAACTTTGGGGAGGGTTTCTCTAGAGAAAGAGGGTTATAATAAATTATGCCCAGTGTTGGGCACTCAAAACACAGTTTTCATATCAAGAAAGTGCTTCTAGTATCTGGTTATTAATCAAAACCAGCCACACAATTTTCAAGACTGTGTGAAATGGACATATGAAGTTCTATCTTGAAAATTATTAAGAATTTCATAATATTGATAGTAGAACATTAAACAAGCTGTTTGTTAATAGCTCTTAGCTTTGAAATTCTAGTGCTATCTTTAAACTACTGGATTAATATATTACAATATGCTGAAGCTGTGTATATTATTTATTTTAGTGAGAAATTATCTTAAATCACAGTCATTGTGGGTTTTCCCCCAAAGCACTGAAGTTTCGTGTGTGAATGACTTTAAAAAATAAAATAACTAGAAATGGCTTGGCTATTGAAATTGCCCATTATCCTAGATGCAATTTTGGAAAATAAAGTGTCAAATATATTTTATTGCCATTTTTGTGATTTATCATATTCCTAGGGAAATTGTATGAATTCCCTTTCTACACATTATATATTGATGTAAGTAAATGCCCAATTTAAAAAATCTGCTTTGTGTTTTTATAGAAGTTGTTCCACAAGAGCACATGTGCTCAGAATATACACTGGAGGGCTGGTTCCATTGCTCACAAGGTTTTCCTTAATTTCGGATTTATGCCTCCCTTGCTCTTCCTGTAGCTTCTATCTTAAGAGCAAACAACTGTTGAAGAAATTAACTGAGATTTGAATTTCTGCACTGTCATTCCGAATAGTGCTAATTAGATTTAGTGTACAAGACTCTTCCTCCTTCCCATTAATAGCTGATAGAGCTGCGTGCCAGCGGCACCTGGCAGGGGTTCAATGCTCTTTGCTCTAACTCAGAAATGGCTCTTCTGGGCATCTAATTCATTAGACTGTTACAAAGAGGGAAAGTATCCTTCAAGTTCTCACATTTAAGACAAGTTCAAGGTAAAACTACCCAGCCTTAGAAAGAGTTGACTCACCTGCTCAGAGTCATTGTTCTTCCGTGATTTGTATATAAATTCTCCAATGGCCACAAACACAGAAAGGACAAGTCCTGCAGCCAGAACAATGAAGATGCCCCCAATATTTTCCACTCCCAGAGCACTGGCTTCCTTACTCTCTTCTTCAGGGCAGCCGTTTCCTCGCCACCATTTCTCTTTCATCATGTGCAGCTTCCCTTCTTCTTGTAGTTGAAGAATGGCAATTGTGATCTTATCCCGGTAAGGAGAGCCTGAAAGTTGGGGATGATTTGGATGTTGGTCATCAACGGGATAAGACAATGTCAAGTCATTTCACTATCTTAGTAATGAATACTCCAGAGTGCTGCAACCTTGAAGTAAAATACTATTAGCCAAAGTTGAGAATTTCCAATCTTATATCTTGAAGATACTAACTAGTTAGAAGATGGAGAGGTGACATGTTGAGGTTCACTCTGGCCCCGGGTGTTTTTTATTCTAAAAAAGGAAACATTAAATAGGAATTTTATGACATTCCTGCATCTGCTGAGTTCTTCACTAAATCCTTATATATGTCATGGAATTTGTTGTTTCGACTCAATCTTTTCTGGCCTTTTGGTGATCTCTTTTTGTGGCTGAGTTTTGCCATTCTTCCGTTTATTTCCCTAACTTCATTAGAGTCCCACTATGGCTACATTTCTGGACAAGGGGAGCTCAATTGATGGATAACATTTCAAGTCTCATATCATAACTCTTCCCAACCTGCTCTGCTTGCTCTCTTTCCTCAAATACACTGCAACAAGAAAACACTTTCAAGTCACCAGTGACGGAGGAGTCCTGGAGTAGAAGGGATTTGGGTTCTAGGGCCATTGCATGAAGCAGATCCTTTCTTTTAACCTAGACTGAGCTATGACAATCAAGGAATGTTTACTGTGCAAGGCTGTTGTGGAGTATTACTTTAAGGTGTGCTACATTTGTTTATGTCTGGAACATTTGTTTAATTTTGTAAATATGTGTTGCATTCTTTGATGTTGCATTTGTTTAACTCTGTGAAGCTGTGTTACTCTGCCTGTTTAAAACACCCGATGGTCCAATAAAAAGCTGAACATCCAATAGTGAGGCAGGAGAAAGGATAGGTAGGACTGGCTAAATAGAAGAAGAAATCTGAGAAAAGAAAGAGAAGGAGCAAGAGAATCAGGAGGGGGGGGACAGTAGGAGTAAGCCACCCAACCTCACAGCCTTCACAGAAGTCACAGAATAAGAGTGAATGTAAGATTATGGAAGAAAAGTAAAAAGACCAGAGGCAAAATGTAGATGGGATAATTTAAGTAAAAAAGCTGGCTAGGAACAAGCCAAGCTAAGGCTGGACATTTATAAGAAAGAATAAGACTTCATGTGTGATTTGTTTGGGAACTGGGTTCTTCAAAAGAGCCAAGAGTAAAAAGAGTAAAACAATCAACAACATAACACATTGAAAAATTTCAGGTGTTGTTCACAGTGGTTCATCCATAGTGATTCATGTCCCAATCAAGATAAATTACGTTCTAAATAGTTCTGTGTGCTATAATAGTCAATGGCAATAACTTGGTAATATTTATGGTCTGTCTTCTGGTAATTCCATTGAAAGTTTAAATTATGAAGGAAATTATTATGGAAAGTGCCAAAGTACGTATATCGGGGCATAGCCTCTTAATTCTTAATTCCTGTGTTAATCAATGCAAAACAGGTAAAACAAGATTCCTTTTCTCATTTATTCCCCTGGAAGGAGACAGTTTTGGTAGTATTTCATCTCCTCTGTAGTAGGACGCTCCCTTTCCTTACAAAGTTTAAAGCCATTCTTGGTGAAGGCAAATTGAAAAGTCAGTTATCTTAAAGGCAAGGAAAAAAAATCTTTAAAAAAATAATAAAATAAAGTCAAGACCATTTGTCAAATAGATTGAAAGAAATTTAAAATCTGAAGGTGTGTTTAGGAGCCAAGAATCCAAGTCATTTCTCCTCCTTGCTCATATCTCAGCGCTGTCTCTAAGAAAGTGCTTCCTGCTGCCCTCCCATCCCTACAGATGACGTATGTCCTATGCCCTCCCATCCCTACAGATGACGTATGTCCTGCTGCCCTCCCATCCCTACAGATGACGTATGTCCTATGCCCTCCCATCCCTACAGATGACGTATGTCCTATGCCACAGCTAAAGTTCTATAAGCTCAGGCTCAGAATTTTGTCATTTGTCATTTATTTCCTCATAAGACTTAAAAAATAATTGTCGCACTCAAAATCTACTCTAAAGGAGGAGTGGAATGCTTTAGAGGGGTATTATGGCTTGTCAGTTCAGAGTATGGATTTTTGGGTGAGAAAAATTGATTTTGAAACTGAGTAAGACATATCAACTATTTGCTTGAAACTTCCCAGAACAATGGGTAGAGGCAAAATTAGCAGCGTTAATATCCCTAGAGTGCACAGGCAAATGAGAGACCCTGGAGTGCTTTGCTCTAAGGTACAGGGAACCGCGATGAGGAGCGTGAGAACAATACTCCTGGCCACGGCTGCACAGTCGTCATAGTGATATACGCAGTGGGTGCACAACAAATGCTTGCTGCCACTCTCCCCCTGCCTTCAGGCTGCGCGAGGCCTAACACATTATGGACAGATGGAGATCCAATCTCTGCTTAATGTTGGTCTCTAAGGAAGGCAATTTCCAGTCTTCCAGGAACCTGTTTAAATCTTAACTGCTCTCATTCTCTTGAAGTTTGATTTTAAATCCCTCAGGAGGCACATTTCTAGAGCCTCTGTCCTGAGAGTCTCTAAGCAGCAGTTTTCAATTTTAGCTTGTGACTGAGCCAACTTTGCCAATCTTCTATTATGGGAGAGACTTCGGAGTCTCTGGGGACTCAGGACAAGACTAGGCATGGCAGAGACCTTTTCACATCTGCATAGCTTTTAGCTTCTATTTTAGCTCCTTCTAAAGTGGTCCTGGTTGACATCAGAAGTGACTTCTTGCAAATCTTTTTGGAAAAAATTGTGTGTGTACCCATGAATCTTTTTGAATAGTAACTGATCTTCCTTAAAGTATAAATTCATCATAAAAGAAACATCTCTCAAATGTTTTCAAGCAGCTGTATTCCCCATGGATGAGTTCACTCTGAAGCCCACCATCTGTTCCAATTATTCGCTCATTGTTTTTGCTTTAAAAGCATGACAGGTTTATCACCAGTATGAAAAATTCCTGGAGTAAATTTCTTGTCATTTAGGAAGGGGAGATGGGTGCTCTTTTTAACATTAGCATTTGTGATAGGTAAAGTTGGCAGGAGAGACTGAAAGAGTCTGTTGAGATCTCTCGGTGTAATAGATATCATAGTATGTAAATGTAGACTGTAGACCCATCACAGAGTCAGCCATTCATAGGTGTGTGTGTGGGGGGGGAGAAAGCAATCGACAAGCGCTGTATTCATTCAGCAGAGAAGCAGAAAGAATAAGGTCCCACAGTTCCTGCCTCACCACCACCATACTGTTGGAAAATTTAGATTTCAAGTATTCCATTCTTTTTTTTATTTCGTTTTCAGAGCTAAGGATCAAAACCATGGCTTTGCTCTTGCTGGGCAAGCAGTCCACCCCTGAGCTGAATCCTCAGCCTCTAGGTATTCTTTAAAAGGAATAGCAATTGAAATAATTCTCTTGTTCACATGCTGCCGCTCTCAGAGTGATACCCATTCTATTTCCTACCACACAGAAAACCTGGTGTCAAAGAGGGGTGCTGAAGGGATAGGGTGAGGTGGGTAAGGTGGGAGGAGAAAGACTCTGTGTCAGGTAATCCAGTCTAAAGGTGACTGGGTTAAGAAACTCTAGTTGCTACGCAGGAAGCTGCAGTGTGTTACAATCAACCCTGAACTCCCAGTAGTGTAAATTTTAAGGCAAGGGCATCCATTCCTGGTGATTGTATCCTCTGACCTGTGTTTCATTTACTAAACCAGCTGTGAGGAAACTTAAGGAACATTTGCTCATCTTCTCTCATGTGTATTATCTGAAATGAGATGGCCAAGCGGGGTCAGGAAGATAGGACATTGTTTTAAGACCAAAATGATCATTATGTCCATTTAGTTATTGTCTAACAATCTCCATCAGCTGCCTGAAAACAAGTTGAATGAATTATATAAGAGATTCCCACCTGAAGAATTACCAGGATCACTGGTATTTCCGCCAGGAAACGTCACGGGAAGTAGATGACCACCCAGTTTTAGCTCTTTGCCTACTTCTTTCCCCATGACTGTCACGAGCTTTCTTCCCTGCGTCGTCAAGGCAAGCTTCACTCTGGATCTACTGCACCACTGGGAGGCTCTCATTGATTAAGCTTTGTGTCTTTGGGATACATTTCTTTCCTCCTTGTTTCTGTGTCATATGACCTTTGAGATTCTTGAAAGTGTGTTCCCAATTGCTTATTTCAATTCTTGTCTATATGTCCTCTTGTCTAGGGGTCCAGTTGTCATCTATGTGCATGATGTGATATTTTGCTGTGTATGTTTCTGTGTGACACCTTTTTTCTTAAAAGAAAAAAATGCCATTTTAAATTGACAATAAATTTTAAACATGCCTCTAATACTGATAATACATTGGTCTATATTATTATAATTGTTAATTATAATGATGATGATACATTTGAAATAGTGTTTGCCTTTTTCATTTCAAATACTGCTTCCTGGATTTTCATTGAAATATTGTTACTGATTCATTAGTTATATATTTATTTTATATAGTTATATATATATTTTAAAAAATTTACTTAAAGATACTTTAGATTCTCTCAAGTTAATTACTTTTTTGCTATTTTTTCACTACTTAAGAAACTGATTCTAATTAAAGTCAGAATTTAAATGTTGTAACAGCTAAGCTTTCAGTGACTTTTCCCTTGCAAGACTGGTGAAGCTCATCTTCTGGGTGTTTAACTTGGGTGTCAAATCCAATGGTGGTGCCCTAGTTAGGCTACCATTGCTGTGACAAGCACCATGATCAAAAGCCACCTGGGGATCAACTGGTTCACTTCATCTTACAGCTTATGCAGTCCACCACTGATGGAAGTCAGACCTTGGAAGCAGGCAGTGAAGTGGAGACTGTAGAAGAGTTGGGCTTACTGGCTTGTTCCCCATGGCTTGCTCAACATGCTTCCTTGTGCCATTCAGAACCATAAGTCCAGGGGTGTGATACCACTCTCCCACACCAGTAATGACTCAAGAAAATGCCATATGGATTTAACCTGTAGGACAGGCTGAGGATAAACTTTTCCTTCTTTCCTTCCTTCCTTCCTTCCTTCCTTCCTTCCTTCCTTCCTTCCTTCCTTCTTTCCTTCCTATATGTTATGTGCACTGGTGTTTTGCCACAGGTGTTGGGTTCCCTGGAACTAGAGTTACAGGAAGTTGTGAGCTGCCATGTGGGTACAGGGAATTGAACCCAGGTCCTCTGGAAGAGCAGTCAGTATTCTTAATCTCTTGCTATCTCTCCAGCCCTGGAAGGCATTTTTTAAATTGAAGTTCTGTTTACCAAGATACCCTAGCTTGGGTCACATTAACAAAAGTACTAATCATCACAAGGATAAGGTGATGAAAGATCAGCCAATGTTTTGTTGCAGCATGTTTAAAAGGGGCCTAAACTTTGGCAAATTGCCTGTTCTCTTGATCAGAGAGGCCATGGGGCCCCACAGGTTGAAGTCTAGACGCTTTGCATTCTTTAAAGAGGACGGGCATAACGTGAAAGTCTACAGTGCTTCCTAGGGAAGTAGCATGGCCAACAAAACCTTGATCTATGCTGGTATGTAATACTGGCAGAGAGAAACTAAAGGAGCCAACACACTCATCCTGTATCAGAAAGAGCACCCCATTAAAAAGCTTAACTGATCATAGAGGCTAAATTTGTTACCCCAAATTTAACTGACCATAGAGGTTTAAATTTATTAAACAAATAGAGGTTAATTTGTTACCACCTACATACTCTATACATACATACTGGCAGGAAAGTGTAACCAAAGGATAAAATATTCATAAGCCAATAGTAGTACCATGAGGACTCTCAACCTGAGAGCTTCTTAAGGAGACCTGATATTTCTAAAAACTGCGAAGTATTTTACAAGGGTAAAATGTCGTTCAGGTATCCAGCTTTACCCCATTAAAGAGGACACCCAGAACACTACTAGGCAGCTGTCCTCCAACTGATCACCTCCAAACTATCTCCTATCTTGATTTTCTCTTGCCTCATGGGGATGTCTAAAGTCCCTAATTCTTTGTCTCATGACAAAATAGATGTTTGACATTCTGCTACCTTCTCAAATGTTTAGTGTGTGTGTGTGTGTGTGTGTGTGTGTGACAGGCCTATTGTTCAGTTTTTGTTTTGTTCATGGGTTAGCTTAGTTCTCAACCCGACACTGCATAGAATCTCCTAGGAAGAGGTGCACAATGAAGGATTGCCTACATTGGCTTTGCCTGTGGGGAGGGTGGTCTTAATTAAACTGTTCATATGGGAAGATCTAGACCATTGTTGGGCAGCACCACCCCTGAGCAGGGGCTCTTTAATTGTATTAAGAGTGGAGAAACCCAGCTGAACACAGCAAGCAAGTAAACAAGTCTGCATTCCCGTCTCTCTGTTCTTGACCATAGATGTGATCAGGTGCTTCCAGCTGTTGCAACTGTTATTGTCCTGCTAGAGTGGACTGTAGCATGGAATTGTGATTGGAATAAACCCCTCTCTCCCCTGAGTTGCTATTTGTCGGTGGTATTTTATTATTACAGCAACAGAAATGGAACCGAGACATTGCCCGGAGACAATTCATAAACCTCACCAATCAGATAGCTAAACTAGCCCAAAATTTCAATAATATGGTAATAGTTATTTTACTTGCATCAGTTTGCCTCAAAACTGCAGAGCCCTAGATTTGTAGATTGTTGTTTAAGATAGAACCTGTAGCCCATGTACTGAAGGTAGAGGCTGTTTTCATTTAACAAATGCAGACAAGTGCAACAAAATCTAAGTGTTATCCAGCGTGGTTGTGATGTTCAGGAGTGCTTATCCCAAGGAGGGCTCAACTGTGGGGTTTAGAAACAAGTGGCAGGTCTTGGTCGCCTTGGTTTGTGTTGTCTGGAGTTGAGCAGTTTCATCTGCTGATGACACTTCTACAAGATTTTAAACCCCTGTCAACCAAAGATGTACTTTCAATGAGCTATTTGCACCAGAACTTTCTACCCAAATCATTCCTAAGTAACTTTGTTTGTTTGTTTGCTTGTGGCATCTCATGAAAGTTCAGCCAGAGTAACAGATGATAAACCAGACCACCCCTTTCCTCTGCTCAGCTCAGAGCAGCTACAAGAAGAGGCATCTAAGAAATCCCCTAAGGCTGGATTGGTTGCTCTTTCTGAGAAGAATGTGGAGAGAAGGCCAGTGGCTCTACCTAACCAAAATGCAGTGGACAAATGACTCAAATGACCATGGTATGTGCTCACCCCAACTGATACATCTACAGCAACGATTCCTGCACACAGGTCTCAGGGAACATGTGGAAGACGGGCAACAAAGACTATAAGAGGCACGGGACCAACATTTTGCTGTTAGTTTTTCCATCTATGACAGGAAAGGTGCACCTGTTAAATCTCAAAATGGCTACCGGAATAAGACCTGAACAATTCAACACTGGTGAGACACTCCAGTATAGATAATGTGAATCTCATGAATTTCACCCTAGAATAAGAACTGAAAGCAATGAACAACTGCTCGAAGAATTAGCTTTCCTCAGGAATGATCTCCCATTTGTAATTCTGTAACGATCAGCCCTAGAAGCACGCATGCAGGTTAACACTGAACATACTCAACAGAATGTATTTATATGTATGTATAACAGCAGTGGTTCAAGAAGAGGAAGTGGTGAATTCTGGGGGAAGCAGACACGGAAGAGGTAGGAAAGGGAAAAAGTAATGTAATTTACATTTTTATTAAATTTTTAAAAATTAAAAAAAGAAAGAGACCAGAAAATGGAGCCCATCTCCTTTTACAGATCTTCACAAGCATGATCTATGGATCCCATATTGCTCATGGAATACTGTTACTCTTCAGAGCTGCGACCTTGCACTCTGGGACCAGACCCTTTAGCCGGCACTGCTCTTACCTGAATGGCAGAGACAGCACAATTGGAAATTAGATACACAGTGGCTTACACAAACTTCCCACAACTGTGGTAATCTTCCTTTGAATGGAGCAAATTGAGCACAGAAAACTGGACAAGAGAAGCTTAGCCCTACTGTAAAAGTGTATTCCTCAAATGGAGAATCTCCAGCCCATTGCCCTGTGCGTCTCTACTGGTTATCACCCAGCCTGGTGTTCTCTCCAAGCATACTCAGGTAATGTATTCTCCAGTACACTCCAGTGTACCCAGCAAACTGTTTTTACGAAAGAACTAACTGAGGACCAAGAAGGTAGTTACAGCTCCTTCGTGTAATTGTTCTTTTGAAGATCTAGAAACAACAGTGACCATAAAGGTAGTTTCTCAGAATATATGCTAATATTTCCAACAAGTAAACAAACTGTGCAATGGAAGCTATTTATTTGGTTAATTCATATTAACATGGTGAATATTGTTGATTAAGGGTTGAATACAGTTTTTAAAACAAAGTTAATTGGTTGTCAAATTATGAGCTTTAGGAAATTTATTTCACCTAAATTATGGCATTGTGTTTTGTTGGGAAAATGAGATATCTGACCACACTTGTTCTTAACATCCTACAGATCTTCACGTGAGTGCTGAGAAAGGTCTCCCTTATACAAGCCACGGTCTCCGACAGTCTGCAGTTGACAGGATTCTCTAGCAAAGCAAACCCTCTTGACTCATGATCCCTGCTTGGCTTCTGTAAACACTGAAGTTTATGATCCCTGCCTGACATTGACGGTCACACTGCATAATCCCTGCCAAACGTGGCAACAAACTACAAATACGGACAATAAGTCAAGTTTACCCTTGGCTCTTGTTTATTGGGCTCAGCAGCCACTACACTTTCTGCAGTTTTAGCCCCAGGTCGGGAAGCCCTTACTTCTCTCCTTTGGATTACCAAAGCTTCACTTGAGTGTCTCCTGGACATAGACACTTTTTCTGTTTATTCCTGTTCCTGTCATAGATGAGGATAGTATATGAGTGTGTGTTCTTTCTAGGCAACAGGGTCCCGAGGAAGCACAGTGATATTATACAGAACAAATAGGAATATCTGGAGTTTTTAGGTAGTTACTTTTTGACTCTATTGTCTGAGCAAAGTTCAAACATTAATTTCTACCTCTTTTTTTTTTGACGTATTTGTCACTGTTGCCCCATTTATTGAGAATGGAACAATAGCCTTCTATATTCAGAATTAATTTTCATCTATATGTAGAATTAATTTCCTTATATTCTAATATAACTGAAGGCATTAAAAGCTAGGTACATATAGATATTCAAGAAAATAATGTATGGAGGATAATTAGAAAAATATGATTTTTAATATTGATGAAAAAAATCACACAAATATTAAACACTTATTGTGGTGAGATATAAAAAATAGTAGTTGATAATTTATTAGACTAACCATCTGAGATTCCTCAATTTAAACCATGCCTTATTTTTTATGGACATTGCGCTTCCTGGTGAGTCTGCCGAAGACATTGCATGCATCTCAATATGTTGGATACTTGCCACCAACATTGCCCAGCTTAGCCTTGGCGAATGCCTTGCCCCTCTTACCTATAGGAGTTCCCACTCCGTAACCTTTGGAGTCTATAAGGCCCCCGATCTGGGTGAGGTTGCAGTTCCTCTGTGTCACGTACTCAATGCTGGTGGACTCCATCAGCAGGGCGTAGTCGGTGGTCAGCACTCTCTGGATCCCCTCATCGCTGTTTTTAACCAGTGCGCTCTGCTGCCTGCTGCTCATAAACGCCCACATTTTCTCATAGGTGGAGATCTTTGATTTCTGTAGAGAGAGAAAAAAAAGCACACCCACCAGCAGAAGAGTGCTGAAAACTAGACGGCCTAAAGCCATTCCCCATCCTCGTGTCCAATAAGAAAGGGGACACTCTTTCTGTAGGCCAGGAACCGGATTGTGAGACTGCCTTACAGGAAGCTGAGAAGAGCACAATTCACTACAGAAGAGAACGTGGAGATACTTTGATCAGTATGGAAGACAAGGAGACCTTGTCAGATGGATGCCATACTCAAGGTCCTCTTCTTGATTTTGGTTCGGGAGGAAAGAACATGAATATCAACAATGCTTGTCTAGCGACCCATTAACCTTTAAGAAGAGTGCTTCTCTGTCCACGTGGGCAAAGCTGAGGCCCTCTCCTTCCAGGACTCATTTACTCAGCTTCCCTTCCACCGCTGGACCTCAGTGGCTGCTTTGCTTTGCTGTTTTAAGGTACAGAAGCTCTAGTGCCTGGACAACACTAATTTACTAGGAATAGTCTGGGATATGCCACTTGCGTTCTCTCCTTTGTTTCTAAAAGAAGTACATCTGTGGCTAAATTTTCTGCAAAATAAGGGATGCAAATGCTCTTTTCTAGTCAATATTCAAATCAGAAGGATCTCCCTACTTTTTATGTATATAATTTCCCATTGCAATCATATAGATAACAAGGTCTGCACATCTCATTTTAAAGTGTTCTATGATTTTTATGTCTTTTATGGAGCTTTTTGGTAGAGTCAATAATGGACTATATATATGACAGATTATATATGCATCTATACATAGATGCCATTACCTCATTATCTTCTTTTCTTTGTTAAAACATACTGCCTGCATTTCCATATTGCTTAGATATGAATTTCCATTCTTTTGAATAGTGATCTATGATTAGGCATTTTACATTTTACTCTGTAATTTCCATAACATTTCAAGTTTTTCCCCTGAATTTGTCTTCATTTGCATCAGTACACCCTTCCATTTATTTCAAAGATGAATGTCATCATGGAAATTACTGATGCTTTCAAGCTAAAGCCAGTTCTGACACATGTAGATGCCTTAGTAAGGGCTGGGCATGTCATCCTAGGTGTGCAAAAAGGCTGAAACCAGGACTAGGGCCTAGAGACACTGAATGAAGTAGTTTTGTAATCGGTTTTAGTAGTTTGTTTATGCTCAAACATTCCTGGAATTCATTTGGCTCTTAGGTCTATTTAAGACTTGGGTTAACAGAATAGTCCTCTTGAGTTAGGGTAGGGAGAGACAGATGGCTTTGGATTGGATTGTTAGGCATTTGACGAGCCCCCTGAGAAAGATCTTATGAGACAGATAGCAATTCAGTACTCATACCTTGTACATGGTGATGTTTTATGAGGCCCATTCTGTCACAATGAAGCCCGTAGGACTTACTCCCCAGCCCCACGAGACCTGAAAATTGGAGCTCATGTCGCCACAACAAAGGTGTGTGCTGGGTGCTGGCCGATTCTTCATTTGTTGTGTGGTTTCAGCCTTAAAGAGTCTGAGTTTTTAGTGAAGAGAAGAGCTACTTACGCAAAGGCAGTGGGGTCACCTTTTTTTTTTTTTGCAGCAAATGTATGACTGGGAAAATTATTCCTTCATCAGAAAACTACCTTAAGGGGAAATAATTTTCTTTGAAGTTTGACAATTTAAAGCTATCTGAAATTTTAGAGATAGATTCACCTAAACTATCATTTTTATAGATGAGGAACTTGTAGCACAGACTGTTTGGAGACTCCAGAGAGTTACAGAGAAAGTTACTATCAGGACTAATCCTAGACCCCCAAAACTACACCTGCTCATTCAATGTTTCTTCCCCTGCTTCTTGATGATCTGTGTAAGGTAGATGTCAACATCTCCAAAATTGTTTGACAGTGACTTTAATCTTGTTTGATCTACATGCATAAACACAACATTTATTAAAGGACTGGCAACCTCTGTAGGCCTTTTGCCTATTTAGTTTTATGTTGGTACAGCATAGATATCAGCTCCCAAGTAAAAATTCCACAGAACATTTATTTTTTCATTATTTTAAAATTTAGTAAATTGAAATGTCTTTGTTAGAAAATTGGAATTTTTCTCTGTAGAAGTAGGAGGCAGAAAATAAATTTCTGTCTTATTCGAGGTAAGGGGGAAGCACGCAGGGGCCTTCAAGTCACACAGTCACTTGGAGATAGTGGATTTTCCATCATTGGATATGTACCAAGAGAAATTTGCTGGGAAATCTCTCTCTTAAGGATTCTACAAGTCCATGGCTCTGTTCCCTAGATCAGGCCCTTTGTTTAACAGGTCCTGGGAGAAAGGCCCCGTAAAGGTTACAGTTGGTAGGCCGATGAGCCACTACCAAACTGAGGGTTCTTTCCTGCTTAGTCCCGAGTTTTAACAACCATAATGCTCTACTCAGGAAAGTTTATTTTTTGTCAGGCCCTAAAATAGCAATTTCAGAGTAAATTTGGTATTTACCTTTTAACAGATAATTTTAATTTTATTAGTTGTCAAGATGAAAATCTTAATACCTCTTAAAACTATGAGTATGCCTTGCCAAAAATTATTTTAAATGTTAAAAGACCCAATGAAGCATTTGAATGAGAAGCCTAGGTGTTCTTCCTCTCCTAAGCCTGCTCCAGACTTAGATTTAAGAGTCAGCCTCCTGAATCACTCCACATAATACACAGATTATTAACACATGGGGACAGTCATCACCTCTCATTTCACTCAATATGTCAAAAGCCAATTAGACTTCCCATATCCCTAGAGGACATAGGCTTAAATGAATTCCTTGGGATGGCTCAGCCTGACTATATATGCGTCTTTATGCTGATAAACACGGGTGACAGATGACAAGCATTTCTTATCAGGTATCTTAGAAGGCAGAGTCACTGTAACAATGTTGATGGTTACTTCTTTCTTACTTTGCACCTTACAATGCTCGCAGGCTGAGTACTCCCAAGGTGGTGACTTACAATGCGTATGCGGGCATTAAAAGCTGTTGAGAAGAGTGATAACAATGAACACAGACAATGCTTACTGTGTCACGTGCCCTGCTCTGAGCATGTTGTATGCACTCATTCATTTAACTGGAGAGGTACCATTAGGCTGTCTGCTCCACAGATGTAGAAATAGAATATCACACTGAAAAAGTAAAATAAAGCTAGGGTCTCATTCTAGAACTCTTGTTCCAGAGTCTAGGTTCTTAATCAAAGGAAATTATTTGTTTGAATGGAAAATCCATGAAACTCACAGACAGGTGAATATTTTAGCGGGCCTAACTCAAATTCTAAGGAAATCACCTAAGTGTTTGTAAGGTGCACTCTGCTGTAGAGGGATGCTCAAGATCTTGCACTTAGCATATCATATCTTGAGAGTATTTAATGACTTTCAACAGATTCTATTCATTTGGACAAAAACTCAGTGTCTCAAGAAGTGCAGCAGCCATTGGGATCTGGAAGATAATGTGGGTATTGTTTGTATTTTCCCTTGCCTTTTGTAGCATTTTGTTTTTCCTATAGTTCTGTTTTCAGCAGCTGGCTTGTCATGGCAGGATATGAGAGGCGAGAGCTTTGTAGTATAGGATGCTTCTAAGATAGCTACAACCTCCATATTCTAGAAATACCTTTCCGATGTTTCATTTCTATTGAGGTAAGTATTGCTTATCACAGTGTTTCTCCAACCAAGTTATAGGGCACCTATAGGGAAAATATGTGATCCCATTATTCAGTAGAATCAATATCTATAAAATCCTGCTTTGGGCCAGAGTATTTGAGGGTCTTATGTTCACAAATGTTTACACATGTTTCCTTTACTTATTTTCATAATCCTACACATGTGCATATTAGGAATAAGTTATTGAGATTTTCTCTTTGGCATTGTGTCAAAAGTGACCTTATAAATGTGTAATGTGTCATACAGAGCAAATCAATGACCAAAATAATTCTGTGTTAAGTCTTTTCAGTAGACTATTGAGAAATACTAATCTTAAAAAGTGCCCTTCAATATCAACAAAAGATATTGACAATTCAGAAGCCAAGCTTATGAAGCTGGCATACAGAGGGGAATCCCTGCCTGAAAGACAGCTGTTTCACTTAATACAATGAAATTTCATTAAATGATAATATCTCACACCATGTTGAAACTTGATTTAATTTAGCAATAATCAATTGAAGGAAGACTATTAAAAGAGAGTCTGTGATGCAGTGGGGACTCTGTCTTTGCAGGTCTGGTGATTCTGTCGGATCAGACCCTTACCGTGAATCAATAGAATGCTATGGCATTTGAAGATTCTCTGAAGCTATACAATTCATTGGTTCTCTTCAGGGAATTCTCCTGGTGAGACTTCAACATCTTTGCTCAAATATGTCTCACATTTCTCTCCCATCTACAGTTAAAGATTGGTATATTACAAGCAATATGCCATACTTTTTAAAAGGTTAGGTTAACTTAAAGTCATTTTTTTCCAAGTGAATACATTTTTATCTTCTGACACTGGAAGTAAAGGAACTTGCATTTTCAAACAAGAAGATCTTATAGGATGAATGTCTTTCAGGGCAGAAAAGGTTGAGGGATTTCTCTCATTTTCTGTTTCCTGGTGGTTTTGTCTGAACCCTGTCTCCCTGCAATAGCATCAGTTCCACAGGTGTTGGGCTCAGTGACCTCCTTGAAATAGTCTTTGCTTTGCTGATGGCACTAGCCACTTACTGCAAAGAGATTATACCGGCTACAGCTCCTAATTCCCACAGCTGGTCCAAAGTCCCCAGACCATGAAAGCTAGAAATGGCAAGTCTGTGATGATTATTTTTAAACCCATTTTATCCAAGTCGTTTTAGACAGAATCTAGATCTAATCTCTGTAATCCCCTGGCTTGAGTCTGAGAAGACAGTGATTTGTTACAAGGCAAAACTCTACTAAGAAGTCCTTCTTACAAGACTATTTCATAGCCAATTTGGCCCATGGGAATTCTCCTGTTCGTCCCACTTCCTGACAGTGCATTGTAAGCTTATTGT